CAAAGGTGTGGTATTGTCTGCGTGTCTACAAGATGTCTTGATTAGGTAGAAGCGTGCAGAGTCGCTAAGATCCTGAAAGCAGAGCAAAGAAGACTTCGCAAGGCATGGCTTTTTTGTCTGATGCCCCGTAGAATGTAGATGTTTGAACTTGCCCAGGCCAAGACAGTAGCACGGCAACTTTCTGAATCGCAGTAAGTGAGCCTTGTCGTTTCTCACACGATGGCACGCATGTTTTAACGCGCATTGAGCCCGGCACTGAGAGTGATCAGTGGTCAGTGAGCTTCGCTGTCGCCTTTCTGGTGTTGAACTGTTGCCCCAGCGCGAGTATCTGTTGAGCAGTGACTAAGCTCTGCCAGCTTTTAGTACGTGAGTCAGTGAGTGTGAGTGAGTGAGCTTTACTGTGACCTGCAGCGCGTAAATTCTTCTTCGCTGTCGGGTGAGCAGTGACCAAGCTTCGCTCTTTCTTTTCCAAGGGAATGAATGTTTACGGTTTACGGCTTTGAGCCCGGTGCTGAGAGTGATCTGCGGTGCGACCTTGCTGTGACCGGAACTGTTGCGTGAGCAGCTAGTAACTTCTTCGTCTTCGGTTGAGTGTGAGTCTTGTTGTGACCCGAACTGTTGCGTCAGTTACTGAACTTTTCAGCTCAGCAGTGTGCAAGCCTTGTCTGAGGCAGGGCACGAATGTTTTACGGGCGTTGAGCCCGGCACTTAAAGCGATGACGCTGCGGAGTGGGGTTTGCCATCTGGCAATGAGGTCTGCCATCTGAGCCGGTGAATGTATGAGCGTTGCCCAAACTGCTGCCTGAGCAGCTTGTAAACTTTTCGGCTAGTCTGTGATCCCAGCCTTCTTTTTCTGAAGGCCACCAAAACGTGGTTGCGTTGCGGTGTAGGGTTTAGGATGAGTAAGTGAGCCTTGCTGTAGTCCATGCGGGCAGCCAAAACTCTTTGTTGACATCTAGCAGGTTTTTCCGAATGCACGAATGTCAGCCCGTCATATCATGCTCATTCGCAAGTGCTTCTGAAATGTTGAGCCTGTTGCAAGGTCGAAGCTGAGCGCCGCAGTCTTTTACGTAGAGCAACACGCAGCATGGGAAATCTGGATCCGAAACTGTCCGCTTGCAGAAAGCTGGACAGGCAGACTCTACTGATCCGCCGCAGTTTGATTCGAGATTGTATGCTGCAGGGTGTGAGGATACAGACGAGGGAACCTGAACGAGCCCAGCGGTGGCGGGCAAATGATTTCACCCTTAGGACAAAGCCGGTGGTATAATACTCAGCTGCCAACTGAGTTTGATTGACTCCGGCATGTCTGGGACCTTCCACCGTTCTAATAGTGTTATACTACCCAAAGGGTGTGTAAGTGGGTTCCCTTGGTTTTTGCAGCAGATGGGGTGGGTTCCCTGTGGGTTCCCTTGTTTTTTGCAGCACTTCAGGTGGGCTACATATGGGTTCCCTTGTTTTTTGCAGCATTTCGGGTGGGTCTGTGTATGTCCATCACTTAGCTTTCTTGTAGATTCCCATGGTTTTTGCAGCATGGACGGTGGGTTCCCTGTGGGCTCCCTGGTTTTTGCAGCATTTTTAAGTGGGTTCCCATGGTTTGTGGCAGTATTGACGGTGGGTTCTCTGTGGTTTCCCTTATTTTTTGCAACGCAGGCTACATATGGGTTCCCTTGTTTTTTGCAGCATCTGTGTATGTTCTTCACTTAGCTTTCTTGTAGATTCCCATGGTTTTTGCAGCATGGACGGTGGGTTCCCTGTGGGTTCCCTGGTTTTTGCAGCATTTTTAAGTGGGTTCCCATGGTTTGTGGCAGTATCGACGGTGGGTTCTCTGTGGTTTCCCTTATTTTTTGCAACACTTCAGGTGGGCTACATATGGGTTCCCTTGTTTTTTGCAGCATTTCGGGTGGGTCTGTGTTTGTTCTTCACCTAGCTTTCTTGTAGATTTCCATGGTTTTTGCAGCATGGACGGTGGGTTCCCTGTGGGTTCCCTGGTTTTTGCAGCATTTTTAAGTGGGTTCCCATGGTTTGTAGCAGTATCGACGCTGGGTTCTCTGTTGGGTTCTCTGGTTTTTTGCAGCATTGGAAGTGGGTTCCCATGGTTTTCCAGTATGTGTCACTCAAAGGTTTTGGCGGGTTCCCTTAGCCTTTGCAGCATGTCAGCTGGGTTCCCTGTGGGTTCCCTAGTCTTTTGCAGCATGTTTAGTGGGTTCCCATGGTTGAACAGCATCGACGGTGGGTTCCCTGTGTGTTCCTTGCTTTTTGCAGCATTGCAAGTGGGTTTTCCCAGCATATATTGCGCAAAGGTCTGGGCGAACTCCCTTGGCTTTTGCAGTGTGTCAGCTCGGTTCCCTGTGGAGTACATGTGGGTTCCCATGGTTTCTCCAGCTCGCGCTTTATGTTTCAGAGAATAGTGGAACTGAAGAAGATGTTCGGGACAATGGCTGCAGGTGTGGCCCAGTTCCATCGCACATATCGCGCTGCATTTGGGTTTGCTGCTTTGAAGTAAGGCTGCAAAAAGCACCTCTGCTGTTTGCAGTTTGGGTCGAGACCAAAGACGTTAAACAGGCTCACCTCTGATGCACATGAGGCTCGCCGCCCTCCTATTGTAATGCTCTTGATAAGTTTGCTGCGGCTACATGCTGGCACGCTGATGCGAGGATTTTGCGGCATGTACTGGCAGACGTTAATCTCAACTTGTAGCTTCAATTGTTTCGATTGCTTGCTGTACGTGCGCGGTGCTTTTTACGTCTGGAGGCTCCACTTGCAGGAGCTCTTTTTTCCTACAGAATCGTAGGAAGCCTCGAAGGGCCTCCCCTGTGCGGGAATTATCTTGTACGAACAAGAACTTGTCTTGAAACGGCAGCCGATGGCAAGTTTGGCAAATTCTCCAAAAGTATCACATTTCACAGCATGTTGGCTTTCTTGGACGTTGATCTAAACAGCACGCGGAAGGAATTTTGTTTTTCCGCGCAGTTTTCCAGCTGAAGCGGGTTTCAAAAAGCAGCTCTAGTCCGGGCACCGAAACGGGCCCCAGATTTTGGCTTTCTTCGTTGGACATACAAGCTCACGCAATTCGGGGCCCAAATTAGAGCTCAGATTTGGGAGCCATTTCTGGGTCCCAGTTATGCCGTTTTTTCGTCGAGCAGATGCCACATCTGCGTACACAGCTGGCCGTTGCGTGCAACAGTATACAAACCTCGCCAGCTCTGTTTTGCATTTTGCCGGTGTTCCTGCTAAACTCAAAATAACAGTGGAACGGTCGGAAACATGTGAACTTTGCAAACAGAACTTTCTCACACAGTATGACTACACCGCCGGCAAAGGCCGAAACAAAGGCAAGGACAAAGGAAAGCAAAGGGAACAGTATCCAGAGGAAAACCTCCGGCCCTGGGACCGCGATCCTGCGACCACGCGAAGATGGAGATGAATCAACGCTTGGTCTTCCTCGCCTATCAGTTCGTGACCTCTGAGCTTCGCCCATGGAATGCCATCGCGAATGCTTCTTTCTTCGGTGACGCCTGATTCGTTTGCCATTTCAGGGGATCGTTACTGACGTAGATGAGTGTCACAACGTTTCTAATTGGGATGCAAAGCTCTGATTTTCAATGTCAACGTTGCGGCGGAACATTTTCTGTTGTCCTATCGTGCCATCTTCCGGGTGAGCAGCGTCGGAGACGCAACTCATGGGGGGTGCGAACGGACTGCGATGCCTTGTCAGGTTCTAAGGTGTCACTATAAGAGCTGTGAGCAAGACCGTGTAAAGTGCAAGAGAAGGGGGCACGCTACGCGTCCCTCGACTCGAAGGGGGCACGCTACGCGTCCCTCATCTTTACCTTTCCGAGAGGATCCGATGCTGTCCTTTGAAGAGCTGTCTTTTCTTGTAGAGCTGTATGATGCGTTTGGTGTTTTGCAGCTCTCGTGGGACGCGTAAACAAACTCACGTAAATCCATCATCAGAGGCTTGCACATCCATTCGGCCTCATATCTTCTTTCTTGCGATGATTGCAGGACCAGCATGACTGCATGATCCGAATCGAGATTCTGCTTGCCGGTGCGGCGGGCCAACCTTTATACTGATATTGGCACGGACCAAACGATCGAGACATGCTGCTCAAATGTACTATATGATGCTGCACATGGTGTTGGTGCTCCATGGCATGACCGCTGAATGGCTTGCTGCAGTGTGGCAACACTGGCTCGAATGGAGTGCACCGTATTGTGTGTCTAGGGAGTCGGCTCAAAAAAATTCGCGGGAGGAAAACCCTAAGTTCCCTAACTTTACGAAATAGAGAAGCAGACAGACATTGGCCCAATTATAGGGTCATGCCTGTCTGCATATTCATATAAACATCATTCGGCCAAATATACATACACATATAGGATCATGTATGTACATGGAGAGAACCACATATGTACGACCGCATTCTCAGATTTTCTGCGGTTGATCGCGGGGATTTCCAGGTCTGGTCAGCAATCTTTGCAGTAGACGTGTCGCCACCCATGTGTCGTACGATCTCAAAGAAAGCTCGCCTGCAGAGCCTCGATCGGTCATGCTGTTACATCACTTTTCAAGGAAGACATGTCTGCAGGTGTCAAAGGATTTGCTATGGTTAAGATGTCTGCAATCACATATAATAAGTTTGACCTACCTGCTGAAATCATGTGATCGTGCGGCGACTCGTCACCGAGTGGAACGTTCATGCTGCAGTCGCGGCCTCATCTTGCTGACCTGATAATAGGTCTGAGATTGATCATGTATGAGTAAGCTGTCAAAATACTTCCAGGTGGCGTGTGCGGGACCTCTACATATCGTGTGCGCGAGAGGCAAGTCCGAGGTCATTCTTGTGACTGTCGTGCAACTGTATGATCTATGAGTGGGATGGAAGTCATGCATTGTCCTTGCTGCACACCGCATGTCGTGTGAATCATACGGCTTACAGCCTGCTTGCAGTTCCCTGCTTCTTGAAGCACTTCCGTGCTGCCTTGCTTCTGCTGCGAGCATGGCGGGAGAGCACGCCATAGTGCCGGTTGACCACCATGCTGCGTTGCAGCTGGCTCTTGCGGACAAGAACTTGGGGCAGACCTGGAAGTCAGTCCGTGTTTCGATTGCAAGGATTGAAGCATTTGCCGTGAGAAGGGGTGGACAGCACTTCATGTATGCATGTTCGCACCGAAGGTCCCGGGACCATTCCTTGGAGCTTCAGAGATGTGGATGAGTTGTCGACGAACATGATCAATGGCTTACCATCGAAAGCATTAAGCATCATCATGAATGAGAACTTTTCTGGCGCAAAGGACTTCGTCCGGCTCGAACATCCAATTGCACGCCCAAGCTACCGCGAGCTCAGGGCAAACTTTGTGCTGTTGAAACCGGTAGTCCAGAAGTTTCCGGCCAAGGCGCAACAAGAGTTGCACTTGAATAATGTCGTTTCGGTTCATGAGAGCAAGCTCTTGGATGGCACCTTGCAGCAGGTCCCTTCGGGACTGTTCCTCACGGACGTCATGCTGCTGATGCATGAGAAGCTTGGCTCCCGTCTGTTGCGGGGTGATGCCAAAACCGCAGCCGGCCAGGAGGCTACAAAACTCAAGCGATGCATCCAAGCTCTCAGATACCTTTTCCGGAACAGTATCTCGACTCAGTAGTTTCTGCAGTTGCCATAGTAGTCCCGGATGAATGTGTGTGTGTGTGTGTGTGTGTGTGTGTGTGCATGTATATGTGTGTGTGTGTGTGTGTCACGTTAAGGTGCCAAATCGCTGGACCCGAAGGTCAGCGAGTTGAAGAGTTACCTGCAAAAATCCCCCCCCAAGGGCAAGGCTTCTGAAGCCAAGGTTCCTTGTTGACAAAACTTTCACGCTTCAGCGTGGAGACTGTGTGCCATACGTTCTCTTTTCGACATCGATCTAAGGCACCTGAACCGGCGGCGGCAGCAGCTGCAGCTTTTTGACAGCAATAGAAGTTTTCTAGCAGTATAATTGCATGTCGCAGTTTCTAACCGAGCAAGAAGCCCATTGTGTGCAAGGAGCCCGCCGAGAGCTCCAGTGAGAGTGATAGTTCCGGCGAGGCTTGTCTTGCATTGATGCTCATTGCGAAACCTGTGCGTGCTCCAAAATACGCGGGATCCGTCATCATTAAGGATGAAGCTTCGAGCGACGATGACAGCAGTGTTGCAACGGAGACCACGACAGCATTATATCAAGCTTCCATACAGGCTTCCAAACCTTCTAATTCTACTGCATATTGTAGTTTCAGCATACATGTGCCATCCGAGGTCGACGAGGATATGAGTGCAGATCCGGCTGGTGCTGGAGATGGAGAGAACTCAGATGATGAGACTTCAGCGGCATAAGCAGACCATAGTCGTAGCGTGCAGCCTTTTCGCACATTTTGCTGGTTTTTGTGCGTGTGTGTGTATGTGTGCATGCGATCTGAGGATCTCGGTCTGGGCGATGCAAGCTCTGCTGAGAGTGAAAGTGAAACTTGGATATCATGCAGTTACATGATCAGGGCAGGTAGGCAGCCTGTGCATTATAATGTGTGTGTGTGTGTGCTTGTCACTTAAGGAGGACGCAGCCAGCGAGGATGCATCCGATGATGCTTCGGCGGCCCTTTGTTTGTTTGGTTGCATCCTTTGCACTGTGCGTGTGTCTGTGGGTGTGTGGCTGAGGACGAATCCGCCCGATCCCTCGGTGGAGTTGCAGATTGCTCCGGAGATGGTGACAACTCAAACGAAACTTCGACGGCATGAAAATTCTCAATATGTTTGTGTTGCAGCTTGCGTGTGTGGGTAGTTCCAGGCCGACACAAGCGAGGATGATTCGGAGGATACTTGGAGAGCATGGATACCAGAGTGATGTTTGCATGTGCTCGTTCTTCAGTATCTGTGGTTGTGTGCGTCGGCACATAGTATGTTGTGCAGCTGAGAACAACACCATCCGGTACGATGGTGTTGGCTCCGACGAAACTTGGATTGGACAAGCCTCATGTTTCTGTTCGTATTTGAAATGCTACCTGAGGCCGAAGCCAGCCAAGATGCATCGGATGATACTTCTCGGCATTTAACCATGAAACTCTTATGTATGCATATAACACAGTTTGTGTGCAAGACTTGAAGTTCGCATGTGGGTGTGCGCGAGGGTGGGTATGTGCGTCTGTGCCGCATCAGGACCAGTCCGGCCGATCCAGCTGTGGAGATGCAGATTGCCGTGGAGATGATAGTGATGTCGGAGATGAGACTTAGGTAGCATTATGCAATCCGTTCGATCAGTTGTGTGATGCTGGATATGCCGTCTATACTATAGATAAGGACGACGAGCACGGCATCCCGGCTTGGACCAAGCGCGCAGACCGCCCCATCCCGGGCAAGGACAGCCCTCCCCGGCGAGATGCCCCGTCGGCGGGCATGGTGTCCCCAAGAGATCACTACGGTAATCCTGTGGATCCCAAGAAGTTTGTTGATGCTGGCCCGGCTACTTGCCTAAATACCGTGCGTGTGTGTGTGTGTGTGGGTGTGTGTGTGTGTGTGTGTGTGGGTGTGTGCGTGATTTGTAACATGCGCTTCGTGAATGTGATATCAAAATCTAGCCGAGACGAAGAACTTCGACAATCGACTCCTGGCCCTGCGTGAAGACTACGAATCCTCCGAGTCCGATGATGCGATGAGTGATCCGGAGCTTGACTTGACGGATGTTGAAACCGAGCCTCTGCAAGTCCATAATGTGTGCGTGTATTGTGTAGAGTTGGTACTTAAAGTTGCTGAAAGTTTTCGGAAAGTAAGGTTCACCAAGCCCCAGCGAGCTGCTCGACAAGTTTGCCTCCCCACGACCCCGCCGTTTGCGAGGACCTCGTTTGTGTATGCAATCTGGAGCCACTGAAACCTAAATTGTTTTGAGGGTGGTTATGCATACAGGACAGCGATGAGGACGACAGTGCGTCCCTGGCTACGACAGTGAAGCTGGGCGATCACTTAGTGTCGGAGGATGAAGCGGTGCAGTCGCCGTGCGACTTCTGCGATGTCATGCCCGAGAATGAAGGATGTTGCGTGGGCTGTGGTTGCGCTTTGGTCCCGAGGGATAAGGCAGTGGAGGAGCAGGACAACAAGAAGAACAAGAAGAAGGACAAGAAGAAGGACAAGAAGAAGGACAAGAAGAAGGACAAGAAGGAGGACAAGAAGGACAAGCAGAAGGACAAGAAGAAGGACAAGAAGAAGGACAAGAAGAAGGACAGCCGGCCCGAGCAGTCCTTCAGGAAGACGGGCAATGACAGCGATGATGAGCTGCCTGGCTTTCTTGTCGAGGCGGCCAAAACCATGGAGGACTCCCAAGAAGCTTGGTTTGCAATTTTCGTGGTATGCTGTCTCCAGCTACAATGTGTTTGCATGCATTCTGCTGATCGCTGCAGGCAAGTGGGGCCACGGCTTCCACCGCCCCTCGGCCTTTGAAATGATGATAGCTGTCTGAAAGACTGTCATGGTGTCCGGACATGACTTCCCACGTCGAAAAAGTAAAGGTGAGTGAGCCTTTTGAGTAACAGTCTTCAGGAGCATGGGTCTTTGTGCAACGCCTTGCAGCAGTTGACCATCGATTCCCCGAAGAAAGCTTCATACACACCCGCATGGGACAGTGCACCTGCCCTACCAGTGCCCCCCGAAATGGAAGATGTGATGGCTATGGTTGATGGCAGTGCTTCTCCCTTTGTTAACCAGGTGACTCACCACAATTCATGCATGCATCTTGTGTGTGCGTGTGTATGTGTGTGTGTGGGTGAGTGAGTGAGGGCCTATATATGGGAATCGAAACAATCTCTGAGGCCAAGCCGAGGAAGAGCAAGCATGCGCAGCGCGAGGATGGGGAGTCCACGGCTAAGAAGAAGACGTGTGTGTCGCACGAGCATGGGGTCATGGAGGCTGAGAAGAAGAAGACGTGTGTGTCGCGCGAGCATGGGGTCATGAAGGCTGAGAAGAAGAAGAAGACGTGTGTGTCGCGAGAGCATGGGGGACCGAAGGAAGATGAGGACCCGTTGTCCAAGCAGCTTCATGAGGGTTTGGAGGATCTCGATCGTGTCAGCAAACCCAGCGGCAAGAACAAGCGTAAGGCAAAAAGTGCGAGCTCCAACAAGGCCAGTTTCAAGAGGCCCCGCGGTAAGGGCCGGTCTTCGACTGCTTCGACAGCTGCGCCATCGAGCTCAGCGGATGCTTTGGCAAGTGAGCCGATCAGCGAGCCGGAGATGGATGCGAACCTGGCAATTGTGCCAGCCTTGCCAGCAGAGCCGGTGGCCGAGACAGAGAATGATGACAAGTGGCACTCCTATGATTTGAAGGCCCTGGGTATGCCCCAGGAGTGCAGACCTAAGGGTCCGGGTCGAGGAGTGCATTCATACACCCTGTCTTTGAGCGGAGCAACCTTTGATGTGTTGATGCGCAAGAAAGGGTTCTACATCAAAAAACCCATCGGGACCGGCAAGAAAGGCACCATCAGCTGGGCGATCAACGGGGGTATTGAAAAAGCTTGGTTGAAGGCAAAGCAGCAGGCAGGCTTGCAGTAGGGTGGGTCCACAGCTCTTGCAACACGATGATGAAAACACAAACATACTGGCCTCAGAAGTGTTATGTGCTTGGTCTTTTCATGGTGAAGGAACGGCTGTGCGATCTTTTGGGTCTTTGCAGTGTATAGCAAATTCTATACCGCTGCGAAATTAACGGTGCGATCACCGAAAGGCTATTATGAACGGGACAAAGCATTGCACGCAGCTATGGGGCTATGCCGAGCGAGCGACGAAAAATTAGAGACCGATGCTATCTTGTGCGGTAGTGAAAGCTAGTGCAAGCGCTGCTCGATATACGTGATTCACCATGGGCTCTCGTCTCGTGCAGGTGGGGCACATCTTGATTTACATTCTCATATGTGGAGCCTGGGCCTGGGCCTCGCTTCGTTTGGTGCCAGCATGGAGCTTGAACATTTTACACAGCTCGGTCCTCGCTTTATAGCCGTGTGGTTGAGTAGACTGTAGTGATTCTCATGGCCTTTATAAATTACACCAACTTTTTGGAAGGTCAAGGCTTGTGTCCATGAAATCACCATGCAGGAACAGTCATGCAATTCGTTGAGGTCATCATCGTCGGTGTCATACAGTACTGTGGAAGTCTCAGTCGTCGCAGTGGCAGGCCATAGCAGCAGCGAGACAGGAGCAGTTTGGTATAAGAGCAAGTAGCAGTAGTAGTAGTAGTAGTAGTAGCAGCAGTAGTACTAGTCGTCGTCGTAGTATAGTATGGTATGATTTGATAGTAGTGGCAGTCGTAGTAGTAGTAGCAGTAGTAGCAGTAGTAGTAGTAGTAGTAGTAGTAGTAGTAGAAATAGTAGTGGCGGTGGTTGTGGTAGTGCATGGTAGTGGTGCTAGTGGTGGTGGTGGTGGTGGTGGTGGTGGTGGTGGTGGTGGTGGCAGCAACAGCAGTAGCAGTAGTAGTAGCAGTAGTACTAGTAGAACTATAGTAGTAGGTAGCAGTAGCAGTAGTAGCAGTAGTACTACAACCACTACTACTACGGCTGCTACTACTACTACTACTACTACTACTACTACTACTACCATGCACCAGCAACATAGCACAGGCTGTTGCAGCAGCAATGGCAATGGTAGTTGTCGTCGTAGCGTCGTAGCAGTAGTGCGTAGTCCCGAATCCGGGAACTTGTAGACCTAAGCCTAAACCTTCAAATCCTAGCCCATGTACGCTCCTGAAGCCAAACCCCAAACCCTAAACCCGAACTTCCTAAATCCACTCAAACCCTAAACCCCGAAGCCCAAAGCCCTTCCCAGGCAGCCAGAGACCACGGTCCGTTGCTGAAGGACGGTTTCGGAGCTTGTATTATAACTTAAGGCATTCTATCTAGACAAGGGTACTACTGTACCGGCACTAGAAGGGCTCTACGGGGTGTCGGTCACCACAATAGTGTGTCTATATCCGGGTTCAAAGGCTATCAGGTTTCTGTCATTGAATTACGGCTCGAGTTTTGGGATTTGGGTTCCGGTGGCGCTATATATATCGGTTTCCTTTCTTGCACGTTGGGGTAGGCGATCACTACAAAATCGGTTCTATTGTTGCAGCTGGTCCTGCTGTTACTTGTAGCAAAATTGGCACGATGCCATTCTGCGTTTACTATCATACTAATTAGTAGAATAAATTACAGTACCATGATGATCTTACTCTTCAATTGCTACCGCAACTGCGACCACCACTACTGCTGCTACTACTCTACTACTACTACTACTGCTGCTGCTACTACTACTACTGCTACTACTACTGCTACTACTACTACTACTACTACTACTACTACTACTACTACTACTTGCTGCTACTACTACTGCTACTCCTACTGCTGCTGCTGCTGCTGCTAATGCTACTGCTACAACTACTCCTCCTACTCCTGCTGGTCTACGAATATTACTGCTCTTGCAGCAGCAGCTGCATGTGATGCTACTAATGTCACTGCTCTTCTACCCCTCATACATCCCTATCACAATTATATCAGTACCAGCGACTTTTGCTGGAGCATCTCATCATCCTGGGTTTCGAAAATCAAAAAGAGACCTATTTATGGGAATCGCTCATATATTGGACACTGCATGTAGGCTTATAGAGATTAAAGACAAGAGCCCAGCACCTCGAAACGAGCCCGAAACTGTACCCGAAGTAAATTGAACGATGAGGCTTGCCTGCTCACACCATCATCAACGAGTTGGCAGGAGACTCCGGGTCGCTTTGAGTTTCTCTTTGGAGGGCTGTTGGGTTAAAGGGACTTAAGTTAAGACCTTTTTTGAGGGATATAGTTTGTGGCTAACGCCATTCAGAATAATCTAGCTTCCTGACACTACACCCAGAAACCCTAAATCCTAAACCAAGTTCCCAGGTCTCTTTGCTGTTCAGGAATGGCTCCCTAAAAGATGAGTACATAGTACATGGGATTATTAAGGGTTCTGATCTTTTGGGGATACGTGCCCTGGGGCTTAGTTATATGGTCCTCCTACGTCAACTTCTACCGATAACCCGTTCCTCCTATAAGCTTTAGTAGTTTGTCTACGTGGGTTACATGGGATCTTCTGTTCGATTTGAGCTAATGTTCTTTCAATGGGCTTCGGCGGACACTGCAAGTCTGTGGGCTGCAAGTGTAGATTCGACATATAGCCAAATGTGTGGTGCACGGATACATAGTGCGTCGTTCCAATCAACCCGGATAGCGCATCTGGCTAATTCTGCCATATATTTCATAACTTGTCACTGTAATCAACCTAATATTGACCTGTTGTGCCCCTTTGTCGGCCATGAACGGCAAGAAGCGCAAGCGCTGCGCCAATGAGATTGTGCGTGAACCGAAACTATGCTTCCGAGAGAAGCAGCAAGCCAGAATCTTGAGTGGCCTCCGCTTCCTCAAGGCTCCTGCTGCCTTTTGGCTTATTTACAGAATCTTTGATGGTTCTTATGTAATATGTATACAGGGTATCGAAAACCAACCGTACCGTTACGATGCCAAGGTTATTGCAACGCTAGTGCTCATGGCTCTCGATTTGCCTTGCTTCGATGCTGATTGTTCGCTAGATCACTTCGAAGCCTTTGCTGGTGTTATGTCCATCACGAATGCGGAAGCGAAGGATCCGCTTAATTGGGTTGAGATAATCTAAGCTTCTACTTCCGAGATTCAACAAGGATTTGGTATGCTTCTGCTTTGCTGAGAGCACTAGTATGACCCCTGTAAGGCCGGTCGTTCGGCAGTTGCCTATGATATTCGAAACGACTTGTCGGGCCAGAACCTCCTCGATCCTATCGGTTTCCTTCACTCTATTGCGCAGTGCTGCCGTTTGCGAGTGGGCGGCGGGGCGTTTTTCGCACCAGTTTGTTCAAGCTGGGTTTTCATGCCACTTGTCGATTGCTAGTCTGTTTAGGCTGTTTGTGCTTTGAGGGTATGGGCAACATTATAGTTCTAAGCTGGGGGGAGCTTAGTTTTCAGAGTGATTTCGTACTCAGGTGTCGCTCCAAAACTGAAAGAAGCACGGTGAGACCGCTGGGAAATGCCTCGCACGATACTGTATCGCAAGGCAATACGATTACTGCTAGAACGTTGGTTCTTGCATTCGTGTGCGCTGCTCTACAGTGCTGGTGGTTCTTAGAGCAACCGAAGGGCTCCCTGATGGAGATGCACCCTCTTTTCCAGCAGTTTCTTGCTCGTGTGGATGTGTACAAGCAGTTTATCCGCATGGCTGATTTCGCCCACGGCTGCGAGAAACCAACCTGGTTGTACTCAAGTCCTTGCTTTCAAGCATTGAGACTGTGTTGTTTTGTTATTTATGCACACAACCTATTTAGAAGGTATATAGGCTTCCCGAAATAATGCCCGAACCCAGGTCGACCGGAAGTTGGTGAGCTCAGTGAATTCCGACCACGCTGGTTTCCCGAACCGACTAAACTTGAAATGGTTGTCCGAAACACCAACGACGACGGTACGACTACTGTGACTGGTGGGCAAGATCTGCGTGCATCACAATCTTATCCCTACCAGAGTCTTGGATATCGAATATAGAAACCCTTCTTCAGCTACATTGTAAAAAAAGGGACCTTAGAATACCCGCTAACCCTATAAACATGTAGCTATAGGATCCCCACACCCTGGAACCGCAAGTAAGCCACTAAGGCCCCAAAGTGAGGCTCTTTGTTGTGATAACCATATATTAAATGGGAAACCCACCCTATATCTTTCTAGGAAACCATAGAAACCTCCCTGGGCTCTGGTGCACAAAGTTCTGGATCGCAAAGGGAAGTAGAAGAGGATTGTGGTGGTGCCTGCAGCCAAGGTTTGGCGTCGCTGTATCGTCACTACGGACTGAGAATCTGAAACAAGTGCGTCATGATGCTGTTCAGTGGTGCAAGAAGGCACAGAAACTATCCAAAGAAGTTGCCCTTAATTCAGCTGCCAATTCCGATTGGATAAAGCATTGCGACCTGCAACCTGTGCTGAACTTAGCAGCACGCAATTAATCAACCGGCCTCGGCAGGGGAAGGTGTTGCATCGAAAGGGAGCATGCGCTCCTGCGCTGGGAACAAAGCTCGGAACTTGTGCGAGAGTCGCGAGAGATTTGGGCACTGCACACGTTCCATATATTGACACATGGCCTCTACGTCTATATCGTGAGCCACGTTGGGAAATTGCATGTAGGGATACCATGCATGCGCCTCCATCCTAATTACTTTGGTAGCCTCGGAAGTGAAACCCCTCGTGCAAGGAGCATGGGCCGACTGGTGCTGAAAAACATCATCGGGAGCGATGTGACTGGAAGCTGTGCGCTCAGGGATTGCAAGCCGCAGAGGGGTTAACTAGTTCTGTCACGTGCCCTGCATTTAAGATGTATGGAAACACGGCAAAGGCAAGGTATCTGTATGTGTGTATCTTCCACATATGCACACCGCTCGGACTGCATTTGTGTGTAAGCACATACTATACAAACACGCACACACAATAATGCATATGCATATATATATATATATTGATATATTGTCAAAATGTTTAATCTACAGAAAGTCGTGCAGTTTCATAGCAACTGGGCTATTCGGATATAAGGCTACAGATGTGTGTATATACATAGATGTAATTGTAAACGGCTATGGAAGACTGCAATTGTAGCTATATATTATATAGTATATTAATACGGCTATGGAGTCTTCCGATTGTAGCAATGTAATTGTAAACGGCTATGGAATCTTCCGATTGTAGCCATGTAATTGTAAACGGATATGGAATCTTCCGATTGTAGCCATGGAATTGTAAACGGCTATGGAATCTTCCGATTGTAGCCATGGAATTGTAAACGGCTATGGAATCTTCCATGTAGCACTTTTGTAGCCATGTAATTGTAAACGGCTATGGTTAATCTTCCGATTGTAGCAATGGAATTGTAAACGGCTATGGAATCTTCCGATTGTAGCAATGGAATTGTAAACGGCTATGGAATCTTCCGATTGTAGCAATGGAATTGTAAACGGCTATGGAATCTTGCAATTGTAGCAATGCAATTGTAAACGGCTATGGAATCTTCCAATTGTAGCAATGTAATTGTAAACGGCTATGCAATCTTCTATGCGTCCCGAAATTTTCGGAAAATGTTGCAAAAAAGAATTCGCGGCTAATTTTTCCGGTTTTTCACGGATTTTTTTTTTTCGGATTGAATCCGCCTCAATTGCGTCCAAACTCAGCCGCGCCTGGGCGAGAACTCAGCCGTGAGGTTGCGAGAACAGCCGTGTCTCGTATCTGGTCGTTTTGGGCACCTGCGGCCCATTGTTTTTTTTCCAAACACCCCCGTCCCGACCCAGAATCCCACCGAGCGAACCAACAAAACTCATTTTGTGCTTGCTCTGCTTCTTTCGGTTGTAGCTCCCATGCATGGCTGAATGTTCTCCTTGTCATGGTCTGCGGCTCCCATTCACGGCTTCGTTTCCGGCTCCCAACCCCATGCGTCGCTCCCATTCGTGGCTGTCTCCTGTTGTCCCTCCCAACCACGGCTTGTGGCTCCCAGTCGCGGCTACGGGCCATTCGCGGCTGCGGCTCCCAATCGCGGCTGCGGCTCCCATTCACGGCTGGGTGTCTCTCCCATTCGCGGCTGTCTCTCTCATTCGCGGCTGCGGCTGCGGCTCCCAATCGCGGCTGGCGGTGCTTTTCCAATCGCGGCTGTGGCTCCCAATCGCGGCTGCGGCTCCCAATCGCGGCTGTCCTCCCAATCGCGGCTGTCCTCCCAATCGCGGCTGTCCCTCCTAATCGCGGCTGCGGCTCCCAATCGCGGCTGTCCTCCCAATCGCGGCTGTCCTCCCAATCGCGGCTGTCCCTCCTAATCGCGGCTGTCCTCCCAATCGCGGCTGTCCCTCCCAATCGCGGCTGTCCCTCCCAATCGCGGCTGTCCCTCCCAATCGCGGCTGTTGCTCCCAGACCTGGCTGTGCTCCGATTCTTGGCTGAGTTTGCTTTCTGCTGCCCAGTATACTCACAATATAGCATAGCCCGTACATACATATGTATATATATATATACTATATACCTACACTTATATGTTTAAGCAACGTGAATGTGTGTGTATATATACCACATTTCAGCTGCTAAATTTGTTATACACTATGTATATATATATATATAGATATGTGTATGTTGCATATATACATATGTAGGCATCTATCGACCATGTGTGTACATTCTATATAATGTAGAGAGCTGTGTGTTGCATCGGGTATGCAATATAACTGACCCACCACGCACTATCGATTTCTAGATAGTTCGGGATCGGTGTATTGTCTGCGTCCAGCCATACCCCTGCGGGTTCGTAGTTCTTCGCTTGCATGATATGAATTACAGCCATAAACGGCAATCGTATATATAAATAAATATATATAAGTACACATACATATAAATATGTACATATACATGTATGTATCTATATATGTACATATATATATATATAGATGTATATAGTTGCATATGCATTCCATGCGTGCAATGCCATCATGCAATGATCTTAATCTGTACCTTCTGCATTCTATATAGAAACCGGTGCGTAAATACATAGAACCACCTTTGTAATTTATATGGAAACACACATACTGTATATATACATATATATATATATATATATATGTATATTTATGTAACATATATACATATATATATATATATATATATATAATTGAGAGAGAGATATTCAGGCATATATAGGTTACACACACATATATTATACATGTATACATGTACACGAACTTTGCATCACAAACGGGTGGATGTACGAAGATATTCTGCTGTGTTTCGTCTTTCTTATAAACACCCATAAAAAACTCATACTGACGTATACATACTAGAACTCTACTGTATATTACTATTACATGTATACAAGTACGCAGCATGTCTTGCCTTTGCCAGACTTTCCATGCATGCAATGCCACGCAATGTTTTCTCACAGGTATTTCTGTGCTTTCTATATGTACACAGAGCACCATGAGCATCGGTATGTCTGCATCAAGAGCATTTTGCTTAAGTTTTCTGGCGCCCCTCCTTTAGGGAGACTACGATGGGCACCTCGGGTAAGCGATCCGGTGAAGAAGGTCGACCGAAGATCCGCGTGAAGGGCAAATCCGCCCCGGTTCCGGAAGTGAAGAGGGAGAAGGTTAAGAAAGAGAAGAAAGAGAAGAAAGAGAAGAAGGCTGCCGAAGAGCAGCCGGAGGCCGTGGTGGAGCCGAGGTCCAAGCGCCCGAAGACGTCTACGTCTCTGGCTCTTGTGCCAGCAGCACGGAGCGATGCCAGTCCCAGCGAGCCTTCAACCCCGGCGGAGAAAATCCGCCATGGGATGTCGTCCCCTTCGGCATCCCAACGTGCTCACGTGGAGGCGCTCATGGAGGTGAAGAAGGCGGCGGCTGCTGCGAATATGAGCGTGGAGGAGTACTTGACCGCCCAGTCCGGGAAGCAGCTGGAGGATCGTTTGGAGGCAGCTGCATCGCAGGCCCGCGGTGTGAGTTAGGTTCACTGTAGCATTGTCTCGGAAGTATGTGGTGTTTCCCTACATGTGCTCGCAGGATGAAGACGGTGGGGAGGATTCCTCCGATGCCTCGGAGGCATCAGCCGAGGAGTCCGACGAGGCGGAACAGAGCAGCGCCGCCTCTGACTCCGACTCCGATGATGCGGGGTCGGACGGCAGCGCGGGGGACGGCAGCGAGGCGTCGGACGAGGACGAGGCAAGCGATGACATCGACGGCGAGCCCATGGACTCAGATGAGGAGGAGATCTTGCCAAAGCAGACGGCCAACAGCAAGCCTCCGACCACGGTGCCCAAGGTGGAGAAAGAGATGAAGGACAAGACGGGCAAGACGGAGAAGAGGACCAAGGATGAGAGAACGGAGAAGACGGGCAAGGCAGAGAAGGCCCCCAAGGTTGACAAGCAGAACAAGACGGACAAGGAATCCAAAAAGAAGACGGCCGAGGCAGAGAAGGCCCCCAATGAGACGGTCGAGGCAGAGAAGGCCCCCAAGGTTGAGAAGCTCCAGCCGAAGGTTGCCAAAGAGATCGGCAAGGCCATGGTCCTAGCCGAGCAGACGACGCAGCAGGGAGTTGTTGCGTTGTGTGATGCCAACAGTCGCCACCTCAATACATATGTGCATCATGCAGTTGCAGCTCATGTTCTTCACGCATGATATGTGCGTTATGTTTCATGCTGAGGCAAGACGCACAAAAACGAGTGGAACCAGTTCAGCAGACAATGCTTGGACAAGAAAAAGTGTACAACATCAATGGCAGCACATGTGGAACGAAACAAGCTCGATATGTTTCGTAGATGGCTTGAATGCGGGGGCGATTGGGAGAAGTGCCTAATCTCAATTACAGCTTGTATTCATGCATAAAACAAACAAAACCAATGCATAAAATCGTGAGTTTTGGTGACATCTAAGGGTCAGCCTGGAAATGGAGAGAAGGGCCGAGAACAGTACACTTGCTAGAAAAGAACGCCAGGGAATGAAAAAGCGCGACATCCTGAAGAAGTATCCTGAGGAGCTACTCGTTTGCACTTCATCATGCTCACCAGACACGATCCGATAGCTTGCGCTGACTGAAGCAATTCGAGTCGAATAAGGAAAGCCAACAAGCTGATTGCAAAGCTGCTCGCAAAAAAGATGTTCGAAGAGGATGAAGACTTTCCTGGAGACGAAGACGAGTACTACTTTTACGTGAATGCTGGCTCGAAGGTGCGGAAGGAGAACCGCACGAGTGAGGCCCTGCAACTCAAGGTGCGGGACACTGCACCCAACCAAGGGCTCGTGGATGCTCTGACGTCCGAGGGCGGGATTTTGGGAGCTGGAGCGCTTGCGGCCCCCGAGAATATGAGCGAGGAGGGCTCCAAGAACCTGCTGGACAGCTTGTGCAAGGAGGGTGTTGCCAAGGCCAAGCCACCAAAGGTGAAGGATGAGGCCGGTACCGAGAAGGTGGAGCCCAAAGAGCCCTGGGAGCCCCCTGGTTGAGCATTTTGCAACATAAGGGTTTACATTTGTTTAGTACAGGAGCTTTCAAATCGGTGTCGATTTCGGAGTCTCGGCCTCATGCAGGATGTGCGACGAGCGCATGCAGGACATTTTGAACGAGAGCACGGCCGCGCGCAAATTCTCGATAGCTCTCAAGCACGTGGAGTACTCGGGAGATTTGGTGAAGGATCTCACCAAACACAACAGCAAGCTTGAGGACATCTACGCCAAGTTGCAAGAACTCAAAAAACGCGGTGTGAAAAAGGACAAGGAGTATGTGAAGTTCTACGCCATCGTGGACCACATGCACGAATGGTACAAGAAAGCCGAGGAGAGTGTGGGAGTGGTGTGATTCGCATGCATATGTGCACGTATGACTGTGTGCTGGTTGCATTCAATCGAAAGCCGATTCCTTTATCGTCCCCGTCGCTGACGGTCTTGCCAACTGTTATCAATACTCCCATATACTATGTACTCCTCTAGTATATATATATATATACAATACTTCAAAACTACTTGGGTATTACCACTATGCTACGACTATACTTCTATTTCTACATGCTACTACTATACTGCTTACTCCTACGATTGCTACTACTACTACTACTGCTGCTATACTGCTGCTGCTACTACTACGACTACTACTTTACTAATCGTACTACTACTACTACTACCACCACTACTACTACTACTACTTCTACTACTACTGCTGCTACTACTACTACTACTACGACCACTACCACTACCACTACCACTACCACTACCACTACCACTACCACTACCTCCACCACCACCACTACCTCCACCACCACCACCACCACCACCACCACCACCACCACGACTACTACTACTACTACTACTACTACTACTACTACTGCTACTGCTGCTGCTGCTGCTACTGCTACTGCTACTACGACTACTACTACTACTACTACTACTACTACAAGCCTGGAAGGAAGGACACAAAACAGCACTCCGATCACCTTTAATCGAACACTATCTCAACGTGCTGAGTGTCCTTTCAACCGGCTCCTACTACTACTACTACTACTACTACTACTGCTACTGCTGCTGCTGCTGCTGCTGCTACGGCTACTGCTGTACTGCTACCGCTGCCTGCTACTGCTACTGCTGCTGCTGCTATACTGTTATTATTCTTCTTACCTTCCTACTACTATATAGTACGACGACGGCTACCACCACGCTGTTCTCGCTATCAGCAGGCAGAATCATCGCCAACATCATCTGCACCCTATAATCTTCTTGGCAAGCACATGCTGCGTGTGTACTCGCAACACTAGACCAAAGCTAACACATGTGTACACATTCACATGCATGCATATATACCTGTTACATGCGAACACATATTCACGTTTAATTCATACAATGGCTTGTTTTTAGCTAATTTACTGCACAGGTTTAGGTATGCTTCGGTCTATGTCGGGGATATGAGGATCTATTCCTCAAGCCCTTTCTGTCGCAGTTACACCCGAAACCCAAGCCAGAAGTCGTGCCAGCACTGCTAGTAAAATTTTACCTATTTATGAACCTCGACCCCAACTCAACCTGTAAGCCATGCACCCTGCCTGCATCGTGGTACTTTAAACCAGATCCGAATCTTGATCCTCAATCCAGTTCCCGAACCTGGCCAAAACCTAAATATAGTTTGGCCATTAGCTCGAACATCAAAGCAGGCTTCCGCGAAGGGCTTGCTGGCAGGGCTGAACAAAAAAAAATCCAGCAAGAAGGGCGCCAAGAAGGCAAAGAAAGATGGTGCCGCTGCTACCGCGGATGCCAAGAGCGCGTGAAGAGTTTCACATGCCGGGATATTTTGACTTCTAGTGATGGCTGGCTGCATAGCTAAACTTTCAACAGCTCCTTTATGTATGTACGGGCACCCCGAAGTGCTGCATTCAAGAACAGCCTGATAGAAGTGATCCCGATTTCAATCTTAGCAAGTGTTGTGCATTGCACAACATGTGGCAGCTTTCGTGCGACGTGCAGACTCAGTCAGCAAAGGAGGATTTACGGACTTGCTCGGATGCTTCAGCTTCTGTGTGCTTGTTACATGGGCACAGAAACGACTGGCCATGTAGGGGTAAGTCAACGACTCCCTCTATACCACAGCCACCGCTAAACCACCGCGAGCCACTACTCCGTAGGAACCACGGGAAAGTATGCCACTTCCTATACAAAAGCCTATAGTTGTTCCTTACCCTGAAACTTAGTCTGAGAAGACCCACCCCGCCCTCGAATTGGCTCCTGTCTCCGAGGCGTGCCATCGTCGTCTTCCGATCTGCCAAGGCTCGCTTTAAGAAAGACGTTCAAGTTTTGGGGGTGGTTCTCGGTATATCGGTTGCTGGCATAATTCACACTCATAGTTCGAAGCTTAAAGGTGGAAGGAATTGGGTTTAGGGTTGTGCTTGTATTGCCCACAAGCTGTGCAATCTATAGTTCGCTTCCTAGTCGTAATAGATCGGCAAGGGAAGCCCCAAAGGAATCCCTTTTCAATAAACCCGAAATCCCAAACCTTAAACCCAGCACCCAAGACCCTTGAGGATCCCGAACTCTGTTGAATAAGCTTCTATGACCCCGACGTCCCAATCCAAGAGCCCGACATCATGAAAGGTCCAAAATGTGTCTCAATCCCAGAGCCCCATACTCAACAACCCCACGCAAATCCTGAACCCGAAAGGTTCAACCCAACACCCAGCATAGTATGCAGAGCTGCTTCCGATGGTTCAAGAAAACCTCGAACCTATGAACACCCCGAGTTTACGCCCTGGGTCGTAACAGAGCACCTGTCCTATTTTTTAGTTGTTGGGGCTCGAGGTTTTACCTGACAGCTGATTATATGATCAATGTTGCAGTATTGCCATGAAACCAGCCCAAACGGGACTCAGTACATTGAGCCTAGCATATGTATGCAGTATGTATTACGACATGTCTCGTTGGCTCGTTTGGGAGGCCTGCATCGGTCGCGGCGAGTACTCCGAACCCTGCTGTTCCAGCAGCTACTACGCGTGGGGCACGCAAGCGCAGGGTGGAAGAACTCAGCTCGTGTACTATAGATGAATTCATCAGCTGCTCGGACGGCTATAGAAAAGCCGAGTGGGGAACTTCTCGGTTTATATGGTCTATCAAAATATTCTAAGCTCGGCTTTCGGGGTTCGCGGAGTAGACATACATGTTTCAACATATGCATATGTACGGCATTGAAGTCTCTTTTCGTGCTTTTCGTTTCTGTGTAAACGACACCATAATAAGGAATGTTGGGTTCGGGTGAAGCCCATGTTTCTCAATTGGCAAAATTGGCCCGGGCACTCGTACGGGATGTTCCTCATGAAGCAATGACTGCTTTCGCTTCGCTTGGAGCGGATGGACGTTACCAATCGAACCAGGAACGAGATCTTCATAGATGGATGAGAAATTTATGGGGCTTTAAGCTGGAACCTTATCCCATGTGGATGGAACTTTCGGCCTTTCGGCTGGTTTTGTTGCAGAAAATGAAGATCCCTCAAAACATACCGAAATACAGTGATCACTGCTAATTCTGCCGAGGTGACTACATCCGAGGAGAAAGAGATTGTCCAAATTCCGGTTTTGCTGCCTCACGAGATTCTTCATTGTGTACATCAAGCAGGGCCTGTCCAGGCCGGCAAGTGCATTTGCAAACTATTTCGACACAGATTAATTGATTAATTAGTTGAACACAGACGGATACGTGGGTGGCATGGTACAACCAGGGAAAGCGCGAGAGAGATAGGAGAGAAAGAGAAAGAGAGATCGACGGGGTTGTGTGCAAGCAAGAGAGATCGACAGAGACAGAGGTAGGGAGTGAGGGAACCGAGATGCAGTCAAGCAGAGCCCCTGCAATTATGCCAGTTTCAACGATCTATGACTGGCGGATTCGCTTCGAGTGATATCAAAGCCTTTTGGGAGCACTGTCGGCAGTTCGATGAATGGAAGCACCATCCAATCTTCAGTGAAGAAGATGTTGACATGGGAAGCTCCATAGCCTGAAAACATGGTATGTTTTTTTGATATGGTCATGTAACAAGCTTCTGAAATCATCATCATTCTCACTACTATCCAAGGATGCGTGCCGGTTTGTTTCCACTGCGACGGGGCTGAGTTTTTTCGAAACAGCGAGTACATCGTTTGGAACATGAGTTCGATCTTCACAGACAAGGACTCGGATGTGCCTGGCTGCATATGTAAAAGATTTGATTTCAAACACTATGCCTTTTTCAGCGGCCATGTAGCAAAGCGAATTCTTCGATTTGTTCCGTGAGCTTTTGGATTGGCTTTGTCTTCAGGTCTGGGATGTAAAGTTTCCGAATGTGATCATCCCACACGCAAATATGAAAGACGAGGAGGTGCAGCGATATGCTCATTCGAAAGTCGCATCTGCAATGTCATGGTCGATGTGGCAAAGCATGAAGGGTATTGGTCCAGAATTCGATATGGACAATGATCGTTTGACATCTCCATTTCAACTGAGCCTTAAAGGAACCCGCCTAGCAGGTGGATGGAAACTGGTTTATTTCGGCTGGAAAGCAGACCTCAAAGCGAGGGTGCAGGCGCACTTCTTTTCAAATTACTACCTCTGCAACAGCATGTGCGACAGGTGTTTTGCGACAGTTCCGACTGCAAATGAGCAGTTGGCATTTACGCATTTGGGCGAAGATGCTGCGTGCTGGATGACAGAGTTGAGTCACAGCGATTATGCTCGTCATTTCGACGACCGATCTCCATGGATGGAAATGCCAGGCTTCCGGCTGGAGACTGTTTTCTTTGATGCGATGCATATTTTATGGCTGGGAACGGCTCGCGTTCTGCTTGGCTCCTGCCTGGGTGTTTGGCATCGGCTGGGCTTCCTGGGGAACGCAAGCTACGATCGTAATCTGAAAGCTTTTTCTGTCGACATGAAAAATGTGTGTCGTGCAAGCAAGAACATCGTCCGATGGTTTCAGTATACATTGTGTCGTTTGTCTGTAGTTTCTGAGGTCCGTTTTAATTCCGTAGACTGTTTGTTGCTGCAAACAGCTTCCCATGCAAGGATTCGTCACCACATGCCCACTTTCACGAAGAGCAACACCATCCAAGACGACTGGGCTGAGCTGGGCAGTGTATTCAAAGCAATGAGTGTGAAAACCAGCTTGTGGTACTTTTGTGTGAAAGCAGCCGAGTTCTCGCGAGCAAGACCGGAGGAGTGTTTTGAATTAAAATGTTTTACGGGGAAATGTTTGTCGCTTCGTAGTTTCTATATGGTCGAAAGCACAGCAGCCGCCTTATGCAAGCAGGAGCGGATGGCCAAGCTCATCACGGTCTGCCTTTGGAGCCTCTATGATGCCACCAAGTTACTCGATGCCTGTGGCCTACAACTGTATGAAGATGAAGCTGAGGACCGGATGTTTTGGGGGGAACAAAATCTAAAACATCATAGTCTGACCGCTTCACGCTTGCAGGATGCCCACAGCAATATCTGCAAGCACTGCAAGACTTGGCAGTTCTTGGCTGCTGCTTGTGTCGAGAAGGGCTGGAGATGTTTCAAATGCAAGCCGAAATTGCATTACTTGCTTCACAACTCCCGGCAAATGCGTCGTACAAAGCTAAACTTGTTCCTCCTTGGTGCTGTTTGGGCCGGAGAAAGTTTCTTAGGGAAGCTGAAGAGGGTTGGCATAAAGTGCCATCAAGCTTCTTTAATGCGTCGGTTGTTTGCGCGAATCTTGTTGCTGCTTAGCCTTCGTTTCCGGCAGTCGCGAGAGTGATGCGTCGTATACGTTGGGCCAGCTTATATGGGGAAACCTCTATAAGGATAGTCAACTTATAGGCTCCAAACTTGACTGTCGGAAGCCCGGCCTCTGCCCGCAACGCTTGGAGATCGTCCGACAGGTGCGAGAAAGCCGCTGGAGTTATGGGTTCATGTGGGTTCGCGAGGGCTAAATCGTTAAGTCCCAAACTTTACCGCAGAATACAAAACCTTTCTTCCTAAACCCGGTTAGACACTAAAACCCAACAGCTTGACCCTCAACCCCGAAGCCTGAAACCCTTTGACCACTAAACCCCAAACCTCGCAGAGGCACTTCTTTACTCCAAGCTGTACAGAATGAAAAGACCGTTCGTGTTTTGGTAAAACTAAGCATAGACTATACATCGAGTCCCAAGCCTCCTTCAACTTAAACACAATCCTTTCTCGAGCTCAACGTCTATGCAACCCAGCTGTCCTTCGAATGACCAAACCAGAACTTGCCGAATATTCGATCCCTACCTGTGGTTTGAAGGTTACTGGCAAGGGTTGTCCTCCAATCTTAACGCTGACACCTGTATGCAAGCTGCTGAACAGCGAAACCCAGCAGTGATCGAGATGCAGTGCTGCCACGCTACTCTGGGTTCACTTTTATATAGATAAGTGAGGCATCGCAGTTTCAATTCATATAGCTTGCAGCCGCAATAGGAGGTGTGCTTGGACTTATACAGGTCACGAATGTGTGAAGCACATGCTTTGACCCTCAAACCTAACTCTATATAGGACCCGAAAGCCCGGAGCCCCCAACTTCGTCAAAGTTTGGAACTTGCTAAACTAAATAAAGGCCTCCAGAAGCCCCCGAAGCACACATACGCGCACACACACACAAACACACACACACAGTGCCTTCAAGCAGGGCCCGAACGGTATAGAGGCTCACACGTTGCAGAAATCCAACACGTACATATACATACATACATACATACATACATACATACATACATCTACCCAGGGCATCCTAAGGCCCCATGAGGTAGGTAACCAGAGCCTGGTTCCTAGTTTGCGTGGTCCCCAGATCTGGTTCCCAAAAGTCTTGGTTCCAAAGGCTGGCTTGGAACCAAGGGGTGTTCAGGAGGCTCAAAAAACGAAGCAAAAGAGATGATTGTTACGTGAAATTGCATCCCACCGGACACTCCAAAGCACAGAAGTCCCGAGAAAGAGTACAAATCTGCCTTGCAGAACCGCTCTCCGGCCAGTTTGGCACAAAAAAAATGGGTGAAACACGTAGTTTCGTCCGGAATCGTGCTCTCAGGTACAGTCCCGCATGCGCGCGCGGTTAAAATTGGGAGGGGGTGTGGGTAACCCGCACAATCGTGCTCTCGAACTACAGTCCCGTGCAAGTTTTGGGGTATAACAATTATTATGCAGCATGCATGCATAACTCGCAGTACAGGCTTTCACATGCCATCGCATCAACATCATCCTCATCATCATCTGTGTCCTCCCACGACATCACCAGCTGGTCGTCATCTTCGTGCCGAGATCATCAACAATACAGCCTATGCCACATGTGTCACACTCATCCTCGTCATCGCATCATCATTCTTCTCCTTCGAATTCTAGATCTTCCCAACAACATCACCATGTTAGGGTCATCGTCATCGTCACGACATCAGCAAATGTACGCATCATGCAAATCTTTCCGGGCCCATAGCAGCTTCAAGGTTCGAGTGTTATAGGAGTCAGCTAGCATAGGGTGGCCTTTGGAGAGAGTTATTAGGGCTTCGGGGATGCTTCTGATTTTTCGGATTGCAATCACAGGTCAGGAGTCAGGATCCAATAGGGGTTTCGAAGTTCGGATATTGGTTATATAATACGAGTGCAGTGAGCCAATTTGGCGGGATCTCGCTAGGGTTTCATGTAGGACGGTTTAGGCTGCATGGGTTTAGGGCTTTATGGGCGATATGTAACAGTTGTGTCGAAGGTTGTGCTTTCAGCATATAACCCTTCAATCCCAAACCCAAGATTGCATATCGGGATTAGGTCCTACGGCTAATTATATAGGATAGCAGGGTCTATAGGAGTTGCACACCGGATTCGAATTCCTGCCACGAAGCCCTTTATCCTCCAAGCAGAACCCTAATGGACCAGATATATAAATCAATCTAGAAAACACAAAACCGTACCGGACGGTTGCAAGCTTCGTACGAACGCCCAATATGACTAGCTAGCTACATATACCGAATTCCCTGAACGGTAGGTTCGATTTCTTGGGTTCGGGGCTCGAGGCTGCTTGCCGGTTTCGGCGTCTTGAGGGTTTGGTGGTTCGGGTTTGTCTTTGAGTTACGGGCTCTGAATCGATGGGATTTTAGGGACCTGCAGGGTGCAGGGTTTAGCCTAGATCAGAAGCGTCGATCGGCGGGTCTTTTTTTGACGCAGAGCTCTTCGGGCAGCTCTGAGCCTGAATGGGAGGCCATATTCGGATCAAAGAAATTAAATAATACCCTGTATCTACCCAGGACCTTAAAAAGAAGGCACATAATATATGCAGTGCAAGGGACACCAAGTAAAGTCGCATGTGCCGTCCAAGGACCATCCATTTCCTCATCGGCACAAGGGGGGACATTATATTTTAAGGGTTCAACCCTAAACCCCTTAGAACCCCGATTATAACAGGCTCAAAACGACCGACTGGTCAAAAAACAGCATGTCGGTTCAAATCGACTTCGCATTTCAGAGAGTCCTGTGTGTGCTCTCCATGGCAACAGTGTGGCCATTCCACAGGCAGCGAGAGGCGACTTTATCGCCGGATGCTTCGTTCGACATCTCCAGGCTGATCGGAAAGAAGCCTGCAGGGCACAAATTAAGGGAGGTATCCCGAAGGACTGTGTTATCAGATCATGAAATCAGTTCTGCCCAGATCCCACCTCAAGAAGTATCGTTTCAGCATCGTCACTTCGAAGTGTCGAGCCAGGATCGATTTCTGTGCCAATGGTTTCAACAAGCCAAGGACATCTTCCTCCGCATAATTCTGAAAAAACCTGGGGTTATAGAGTTCTTCTCGGCATCCTTTCAAAAGTTCGTCCATTGCATGCAACTTCGGCCTCAGCAGGAACCGAAGCTCACCTTTCCCAGAAAATATCAAGGCTGCTTCTCTGTAGAGACGGAGCGCTCGCTGACCTGCAGGGAGACAAGCTGCTGTTCGTATTGTAATAAAAAACCCGCTTGCATGTTTGATGTGCCGAATGCCTTCGCTGTAGAGCTGCTCACCTTCGCTGCCAGTCAAGTAGCGGTCCGTGCACTCCAGATCATTCTGGAATTCGCTCATTTCGAACCTTAGCAGGATATAGGAGCCCGAAAGAGCCGGGAGTGGGCGGGATCGACAGTGATCCTGGGACCATGATGTATAACCAGCACTTCTTGCCAAGTGCGGGCAAGTATCACACAACCCGTGATGATCGTATTCAAATCACACCGAGCCTGAAAGTCATTCTCTGATTCTCCATCCAAACGCTGGCAGATCTTCTGCTGAGTTTCTGAGTCACAGAGTACAACCTTAATGGTGCACGTGGCTCCAGCACGTGGCTCCATAACATACAAACACCCTTTCGAAAACAACTGCTAAATGCGATGCTAGTGTCAGCACACCAGGCAAGCACGATTCGAGTGTTGAACGCCTTGTATCCCAGGTAAGGGTAGTCAATCTTGCTGACATGCAGGCGTTTCGAGGAGAACTCTCGTCCGCTGCACGACAGCTTGTTGGATCGAAGCCAGCCTTTGAAATGCAAGAACGCTGCCCGGAGTCGCTCGTCCAGGTCTGTTGCAGATGGGGCAAAGATCCGCTGCTCGCAAAGCCACAATAATGCCTCCGCAGTTAGGGTCTGATAGATCCCTAATGCAAGCACGTGCATCGCACAGAAGCGTATTATGGCAGGGTGGAACCCTTCGCACAACACCAGCGGGCACGGACAGTCTGGCATCGACTCCAGCAAGCACTCTTCGAAACTGCGACGAGGGAAGTTTGATCCGAAGAGGGTGAAGCAGCATTGCCCATCATTGCCCTTGGAGTTTCGGGTCGCACGGCAAGCGTGGCAAATCTGCTTTGCATTCCAATGCGTGCGCATCTGCCAAAGGCGCTGGTGCCACTCCCAGTCGCCTTTGTATTCCGCCACAGCATATCTGCGAGACAGCTGTGGCTTCAGCTTCTGGTGTAGGCGTGGGATCTGCAGGCAGGGATCGTGTGGGTGCGCTTGTGGTCGCCGCCCAGCAAAAGCATGTTGTAAAGACCAGCATGTGCGGTGTAGGATCGGTCTCATCGTGACCTATACGAGCTTGATTGTCTATATAGCGGTCGAGTATCACCTCGCTCGACAACGACCAAACAAAAAGGTGACCTTACATCCGAGATGCGGCGCCGGCACTCTTGTACGAATTGACCACGAAAAACATGTAGGTTTTGCGCCAAGGCTCTCCTAGTGTCAACGTGTGGAAAAACCATTAAAGCCGGTATACCCCTAATCCCTAAACCCTATATATATAACCCTAATAGCCCCTGGACCCCTAGACCCCTAAACCCTAAGTCCCTAAACCCTAGACCCTTAAACCCCTATTTAAAAACAATAATTTGCACTCGATCGGCCTTTGATCCGAAACAGTGGGAGTGTCAGCAACAGTGCTGTGAACTTGTCGCCCTCGCGGGTGAACTGAGCAGCGTCCCCGTACACCTCATGTGGTGGTTTAGGATTAGGGTTCCGGGTTATATGTTGTGCGGCCAGGTATTATGTTTTATGGAGTTGGGCCTTAAAGCTTTCTTTCGGGTTTTCCTGCGAGGCTTTGACTTCCGTGCAGCAGTTTTTTGCGATCGCTCGTATGGTGGGGCTGTTGGGGTGCAGCGTATTGGGTTTTCGGTGGGATGTGTTTCCGGGTATTGCAAGATCCATCGGAGGTGCAGCTAGGTAGCTGTAGATTTGCAAGTACATCCTACGCTATAAGCGGTAGCTAGCTATACACCCAGAGACTCCA